TTTGACCAGGCCTTTAATCCTCTGATCCTTACAGAAACTCTATGAAGTAGGGATCATTATCTCATTTTCGACTTGAGGAAACCAAGATCGAGGCAGATCGAGTCAATTGTCTGAGATCTTGTTGTTTTTAAGTGGAAGAGCTAGGATGTTGGAACTTCAGGCTCATGGCCCTTCCACTAAATGTGAAGATTCAAGTCCCCCTCCATCTCCCAGAGGTTAGAACCAACTAGAAGCAGCCCACACATTTACTCTTTAGAGAATAGAGGCAGATCTTAACCAGAAACTAGCTCTATGAGGCTGCCTTTTCCAGGTCCTTCCAGTGGGAGACCATTCCAATGCCATCAAACAGTGCTATTCAAATATAACCTACCATCATTGTTGCTGTCATTATTATTAATTGGCATGTCCAAAAACAGGTTAAGAAGGCAGTACAGACAAAAGGTTGATATCCAGGACCTACAAAGAACTTCTTTTTTTTTTTTTAAGATTTTATTTATTTATTTGACAGAGAGAGATCACAAGTAGACAGAGAGGCAGGCAGAGAGAGAGAGAGAGGGAAGCAGGCTCCCTGCTGAGCAGAGAGCCCGACGTGGGACTCGATCCCAGGACCCTGAGATCATGACCTGAGCTGAAGGCAGCGGCTTAACCCACTGAGCCACCCAGGTGCCCCTACAAAGAACTTCTTAAACTCAACACGCACAAAACAGATAATCATGTCAAAAAATGGGCAGAAGACGTGAACAGACACTTCTCCAATGAAGACATACAAATGGCTATCAGACACATGAAAAAATGTTCATCATCACTAGCTATCAGGGAGATTCAAATTAAAACCACATTGAGATACCACCTTACACCAGTTAGAATGGCCAAAATTAGCAAGACAGGAAATAACATGTGTTGGAGAGGATGTGGAGAAAAGGGAACCCTCTCACACTGTTGGAGGGAATGCAAGTTGGTGCAGCCACTTTGGAGAACAATTGTGGAGATACCTTAAGAAATTAAAAATAGTGGGGCACCTGGGTGGCTCAGTGGGTTAAGCCTCTGCCTTCGGCTCAGGTCATGATCTCAGGACCCTGGGATCGAGTCCCGCATCAGGCTTCCTGCTCAGCAGGGAGCCTGCTTCCCCCTCTTCCTCTGCTGCTCCCCCCACTTATGCTCTCTCTCCTTCTCTCACTCCCTGTCAAATAAATAAATTCTTTAAAAAAAAATTAAAAATAGAGCTTCCCTATGACCCTGCAATTGCACTACTGGGTATTTACCCCAAAGATACAGATGTAGTGAAAAGAAGGGCCATCTGTACCCCAATGTTTATAGCAGCAATGGCCACAGTCACCAAACTGTGGAAAGAACCAAGATGCCTTTCAACAGATGAATGGATAAGGAAGATGTGGTCCATATACACTATGGAGTATTATGCCTCCATCAGAAAGGATGAATACCCAACTTTTGTATCATCATGGATGGGACTGGAAGAGATTATGCTGAGTGAAATAAGTCAAGCAGAGAGAGTCAATTATCATATGGTTTGACTTATTTATGGAGCATAACAAATAACATGGAGGACATGGGAGATGGAGAGGAGAAGGGAGTTGAGGCAAATTGGAAGGGGAGATGAACCATGAGAGACTGGACTATGAAAAACAATCTGAGGGTTTTGAAGGGGCAGGGGGTGGAAGGTCGGGGGAGCCAGGTGGTGGGTTTTATGGAGGGCACGTATTGCATGGAGCACTGGGTGTGGTGCATAAACAATGAATTCTGTTACACTGAAAAGAAATAAATTAAAAAAAAAAAAAAGAAGAAGACTTGCACTGGGTCTTGTCTGCCCTAATAACAGGAGTCTCCAAATAAAATGATTAGCTTTGATGCTGAGGAGGGAACAGTCAGGAGTTGTTGTGAGGACTGTAGTCCCACATTAACCATTGTTCAAAGCAGGGGCTGGTGGGGCTGCTGGTAGGACTCTGGGCAAGGCGTTGGGTTTCTCTGGCTTCCAGGCAGGTCCCTCAGGCAAGGTGGCCAGAGGTGACAACTAATGCCCCTTCACAGATTGAATGACAGCGGTTGGTGCCTCCTGCCACATTTGTCTTGACTTCTTGGCTATCACCTCCAAAATGTACACCCGGTGATTTTTCACTTTTAAGATACAAGAATGGAGTGGGCAACTCTCCGTTCTTTGAGGACTCTCGCTATGTTTCTCCTAGGCTTCTGTCTGTCAATCTATGTCACTCTTCTCTTTAAGGCCTGCAACCTCTTCACCAAATCTGGGTTCCACATATGTGCAAGGGATAACAGAACAGTGTAGCCAAAACTTGGCCCAGGAGCAGGATATATCTGAGTTCGAGTCCCTGTTCCCACACTCACTGTAAAACCTAGCATAATTATCTTGCTAAATAAAAGATTAAATGAAAAAAACACAAAGAAAATTTTCTAGCATAGCAGAAGCCCAGTGGAGGTTAGCAGTTATTATTATCATTGATTTAACTGCCACACTCCATACCCTTCATATATCTCATTATTCACAATAACCCCATGCATCAGACATGGAGAACCAACTTATTGAGACCCCTTTCTCCTTTACCCTTGTCACTTCCCCATTCCCTGGTCATTCTGCTTATCTTCTCACTTCCTTTCCTTGCTATTCTTTTTTGTACCCTTCCTAAGTATGGCATTTTAAAATTTTAAATAGTCTTAATATCTTTCTACCAAATGGCTCCAGAAGAAGCCAAAGCCCACAGAATCAAAGTCTAAGCATTTTCTAAAATGAAGGGTGAGATCATACAGCTGGCCTTCAACTCTTTAAAAAAAATAAAATAAGATCCAAAGGTGAAAAATTCTTTGTACTTAAGTTACGGTGTGCTTACCTACCAAGATTGGAACTGCGCATGATCCTGGGGGCCTTCACTTCCTCCAAAGATCCTTCTCTGGCCACACACTTGTTCAGTCCTCGCCTTTGTTCATAGTCATTAGATTCCTATATTTTTCTTTATCACAGTTCATAAAATCTGTGTGTGTGTGTGTGTGTGTGTGTGTATGATTTATTTAATCTCTCTCTCTCTCTCTCACCCGGCTCTCCATTCCAGGACAACAGACTAAATCTATTAATATTTTCTCTCTGCTCAATCATTATTTTCTAGCACAATGTCTGGTACAGAGGAGATGCTGGATAAAGATCCGTTGATACTGTTGTCCCTGTCATTGTATGCTCTGGTTGTTGCTCTTGTGATTTTGGCTATTAGAATTTTGTATCTAATGAGCAACTAGGAATTGTGTTTTGAGAAGGAAAGAGCTGTGGCCATTTGAGTTAGCTAATCTGGCCTGGTAAAATGGAGCTAAGGGCCACTAGGGTATTTGGAGCTCTCTGAGAGCCAAATGCCCATTAAGAGCCTGGCACTTAGAACAGGAGCTTTCAGTTGATGTCCAGGATAGAGAGGGTAATAGGTTCTTTCCAAAGACATGAGCTAAGGCAAACATGCAGGACTAGATATATAATTCACAGGGTCCAGTTCAAAATAAAAATTCTGGGCCCCTTGTTCAAATATTATTAAGAATTATAAACAGAACCATAAATACAGAGAGAACAAACTGGTGGTTGCCAGAGGGAAGGGAGGTGGGAAGATGGGCAAAAAGGGTGAAGGGGAATGAGAGGTACAGGCTTCCAGTTACGGAGCACATAAATCACAAGAATGAAAGGTACAGCACAGAGAATACAGTAAGTGGTATTGTAATAACATTGTATGGTGACAGATGGTAGCGACACTTGTGGAGAGCAGAGCATAATGAATAGAGATGTCGAATCACTATGTTGGACTCCTGAAACCAGTGTGTAACACTGTGTATCAACTAAACTATAGTTGAAAAAAAATTAAAAATAAAGGAATTTCAAGATGGTGATGGAAGAGCATCAAACCAGGTACAGGGTCCTGGGTGAGACTGCACAGGTTGCATACCCATGAAGCTGGCCTTGCAAAAGTTACAGATAATCAGGAAAACCTGGAACATAATGTTGCAATTTTCTGTTAGACAATTGTGGGAGTTTTGTGTTTATGAAAAAATAAGATTTTTTTAAATATCCAAATGTATTTCCTTTCTCTGCATACTTAACATAGGTTGTGTCTTCAAAACATAATAGATCCTTCTGTCCCTTTATTCAATGGGGCCATCTCTCTGTTTCCAAAGGTTCTATTAAGGCAGACTGGTCTGCCCCTCCGTGACCAGCCCTGAACTCCTTGCTATGCAGAAACACCCTGTGGGGTGCTCAGCCATGACGAGCTGGCCTCCATCTGAGGCCTCAGAGTCCAAAGGGCATGGGTTTTTCAGCCAAAATGGGTTCCAATCCACTATTTATAGTTCAGCGACTTAAAGCAAATTACTTAGCCTCCCTAGAACCTCAGTTTTCTCGTCTATAAAATGAGTGATGCTACCCAGCCCAAGAGGTTGGCCTTGAGGATTAAATAAGGTTAAAAAAAAAAAAAAAAGTCTAGAGGGCTGAGCACAAAAAGCAAACAAAATGAGGACACAGCCTCTTTGCATTTCGCCTCTGCTTTAGTCCAAGGCTGAATGGGGGAGCGCGGAGTGCCTTCAAACAGGGGAACCCCAGCTCTCCCCGCTCTCCGTCACTGAGCCCTATAAATAACTTAGCTAAGTCACCGTCTCCCTTGGAGTCGCTGTTCCTTAGGGTGCGGAATGAGGGTGGTGTTGCAGGTGGTCCCTCTGGGCTAAATCCTTCCCGGGTTTTGTCTGCCTTCCACTACCCCCTCCTGGGGCACCCCCTCGCTCGGGTCGGCGCGCGCGCGCTTGAGGCCGGGCTGCAGGACCCCTCGGCCGCGGCCCCCACCCCTCTCCCCACCCCTCTCCCCACCCCTCTCCCCACCCCCAGCCTCCCGGCGGCTGCCGCTCAGCCCCGCCCCGCCCCGCCCCGCCCCGCCCCGCCGCCCCGCCTCCCCCGCGGCCCGCTAGCTCTCCCGAGCCGCCGGTCCGCTGCCGGCTGCCAGTCCCGCCAGAGCGCTGGCCGGCGAGGGGCGGCGGGCGTGCGGGACCGGCGTGCGCACAGGCGGAGTCCGGGGAGGGCGCGTGGGCGGCTGGGAGAGGATGGGAATCCCTGGGACCCGCGGCTGAGCTAGCCCGAGCGGCGGGAAGGCCAGCCTCGCTGTTCCACCGGGAGCCCAACACCGTTCCCGCGCCGCCAGGATGATCCCCCCGAGCGGCGCCCGCGAGGACGGCGTGGACGGGCTGCCCAAGGAGGCGCCGAGCGCCGAGCAGCCGCCCTCTCCTGCATCCACCAGCAGCCAGGAATCTAAGGTACCGCGCACACTTGCCCCAAGAAAACATGAACTCACTCTCCTGCCCTCTCGGTCCGCCTTCGTTTCCCTGGAACCGGCGCCGACGCCGGCGGGAGACGTACCTTTAGTACCCTCAGGGCTTCCCTGAGACTAGAATGTCAGGCCGGACTCACTGTAACGCTGCTGGACCACGTCGCGTGGACCCAGCCTCCTGCCCACGCAGACCCGAGGCTGCGCGGGCTTCTCCCCGCAAGCACACGCTGGTTGTTGCGCCCTGACTCCAAGCTCAGAGACCGCTTTCCTGGGTGCTTGGTGGTTTGGTGGTTCTGTGCTTTCAGCCAGCTGGTGCCCAAAGCACGTGGAGGTGTTCTGCTGCTTCTGAAGGATGAAGTGTGATAGCGAGGGATCCGCCTTCAGAAAAGCTAGGGCACTTGTGGCCAGTAGAGGGGTGTTTGTGTCACAGGGGTCCCCGAGACTCTGTTTAATTTAAGGGCTCACCCCTAACTTCGGAAAAGCTAAGCGAAAGGAAAAAGCCGCGTTCGTGGGAAAGTTGAGGTTCCTCTTGTGGAAGTTAATACTTGGAGAACTTACACTTGTTTTTTGTGAGTTACACTAACACACATACACAAAGCCAGCCGCGCAGCACTTGTGCCACCGTTCCACTTCCTCTGAAACTCTCGTGGGGGCCAGGCACATGTTTGGAAATCTTGGAAGAGGAGCAAGTAAAATGTGGACGTTAGCAGTGACATGTCAAATGGCATCTTAGCTTGGAGTGAAAATCCTAAGATGTAGTTTGTGGTTATATGGATTTCTTTAAGTGCAGGGCTTCTGGTTCTTTATACAGATCTCCTTGTGAATTCCCCAGGCATCTTCGGAATTCTGGGCGGTTCCTGTATAGGAGTGAAGGGAAGGGGTATGCCGGTTTGGAGTGCAGGGCAGATGGGACCAAAACAAGTCCCATCCCTCTCTCCTTTTAGGTACATCCCTAAAAGCTATTGACAATCAGCAGGATCAAAATCACAGCCAAGTGGCTCTTGGTTTAAGTGCTGCTGGACACTATACACATCTCAGCCTCTGGAAGTTAGCCATCAAAGAGAGCTTTGCATTATCTTTATCTTTTTTCCCCCCTGATAAATGTCTGATCTGGGGCATGTGTGTGTCAACTTTTCTAGAACTCGGTTGGAAATAGGGGCACGAGACGCTTCTTCCAAGGTCACTGTGAAGAATAGGTAAAATGACCCAGTGCAGTATAAAGACTCAATCCGTGTTTATCCTTTTTCTTCCTGAGATCAAGGGGCTCCACCCCACTACAGATACCCATTCCAAAGCTGTTTCATAACCTGCACACACATACCTACCACCTCTTTTTTGACTGGAAGTTTCTGGGTGTCTCATCATTGTCTATCGTTGACCATCAGCCACCCAAGGGGTATGGGTTAGGGGCCATCTCAAAGATGGTCTCATAGACTGTAAATGAATGCAGCAAAACTCAAGAGTGAAACCGGTACTAAACTTTTTGAATTGGGCCTGTTGCTCTGCATTCGGTGTGTTCTGGAAGGGGCTTAGCATTTGCGTACACCATGGCACGGTCTGGTTTAAACACACTATATGGGTTTGCTATTTATAGATATCCTGATGCAAATTCTTTGGCAGAGCAAAAACTACATATGTAATACCCATAATTATCTACTGATTTCTCTGACTAGGCTTTCAAATTTGTACATGGCAATTTTTCTCCAAGTGGGCTACACACCTGAAGGGCGTGTATATATGTTCTGAAATTTGTCATGGCTTCGGTGTTCTTAATCAGTGGAGATGGCCCAGGGGTGGCAGGGGATGGGCCATGAACGCCAGGAAATTGAATGCAAAATAGTGTGCCCGAATGTGAATTTTTATGGTGTGGCATTGGTGATGTTCTCAAAGGGGTCCAACCCCCTCAAAAAAAGCTTAGCTGCTGGCATGGAGGAACACGTGGTAAGGGGGTTGGAGGGCGTGAAACAGGAGCAGAAGAAGGTTCTATTTATTCTTCACTAGGGGTGCCAGATCTGAAAGTTCACTGCCATTTATAGGGATTTTCTGCCCTGAAGATGAGAGCATAAAAAGGAAAGCACGAACAAGGTAATAGTAGTTGTTTCACCTCACTCTGCTTGGACGGTCTGTTTATGAACCTATCACATGAGTTAGGCCTCTCTGGGCATTAAACTTCCGCAAGAAAGATTTTTAAAATTACCTTCTAAAAGACTTTTCTTCTCTGATTATAAGGGTAGCAAAATACTCTTTGTAGAAATTTGAAAAGCCCAGATAAAAATAAAGGAAAAAGAACCCATTGGCTCACAATCCAAGGCAACTACTGATAATATTTTGATCTATATTGTACATCTTTTTTTAAGATCTATTTTTATATTTACACAGTTGAAAGAACTCTGGTCAGCATCTACTGAATGTGTACTCTATGTCAGGTACAACTTGATTCTTCCCAATAACCCTATGAGGGAGATTGCCTGTTTCTTTGATTTTATGAATAAGGAAGCAGAAGCTCAGAAAGGTTGGGCGACTTGCCCAAGATCATACAGCTAGTTGAGTGACACAACCAGGACAGAGTGCTGGGCAGCAGAGCTCCGGAGCGCAGCCCCCCACCACATCCTTTCATCATGCTTGTGTACTCTTTCACTTGCTCCTCGTTCGCATCATATCCTAACCACATAGCTCCCACGCCACTCAAAGTCATTTACAGCAGTATTTTCGTCTTCTCTTAAGAAATCTTTGAAAACGAGTTGAGCTGCATGTGAAATGATTAAAGACCGAATTTTGTGGCGCTTCTTTGGTTTGGTTTTGCTACTCTTCCTCCAAAAATAGACTTATGGAGATAATTAAATGTAATGTCACAGAAATATCTAGAAAAGTAGACCACAATAAACCTTTTAGAACAGAGAGTCCATTAGGAGTGGAAGAGGATGGTTCCATGCCCTGAGCCCGTAGCATGTTTCTGGAAGTCCATTTCCTTTGAAGGTTCTTTGGAATGCAACATCATAGCTTATTGGAGTTGGAAACACGAGCGATCATCTGCTTGGAGTATTTTTTAAATCAGGGATAATTTTTGTTGTGTAAATTTATTTTAGTATGGAAAATTTCAACAGGCACGAAAGTAGAGGAAACAGTATAAGGAATTGTCGTGGAACTAATTACCTGCCTTCCCCAGCGACCAATTCTTGGGTGATCTTGTTGCATCTGTTATTTCCGTTACCACCACCATCCCTCCCCAGATACACTGGATCATTTGAAAGTAAATTCCAGACATCAGTTCATTTCATCCATAAATATTTCAGGTTGTCTCTCTAAAAGATAAGGGCTTTTTTAGTGAGCATGACTGCAGTTCCCTTATCACATGTACCAGGTGTTTTCATCAAGGGTTAGGGTGTTCTTTGGGGGTCCACAAACGGTCTTTGGAAGATGCATGCACAACCAGAATCTGCATTCAAAATTGTGCAGTTATGCACAGAGGTCCATCACCTGGGAAAAGGATCCACAGCTTGTCTGAGATCAGTCCAGTACCTAGAGCCCTCAAAGTTTGCTGAAATGTCTTCTCTTTTCTCTCTTGAGGAAATCAAAGCCAAGAGAGAGACAATGACTTGCCTAAAATCACACAGATTGTTAGTGTTGTTTAAGAACACTCTTTTGGGGTGCCTGGGTGGCTCAGTGGGCTAAAGCCTCTGCCTTCTGCTCGGGTCATGGTTCCAGGGTCCTGTGATCGAGCCCTGCATTGGGCTCTCTGCTCAGCAGGGAGCCTGCTTCCCTTCCTCTCTCTCTCTGCCTGCCTCTCTGCCTCCTTGTGATCTCTGTCTGTCAAATAAATAAATAAAATCTTTAAAAAAAAAAAAAAAAGAACACTCCCTTGGACCTTGGATACCCCAGGACAATTTCCTGAGAGCATATGCCTGTGAACCGAAGTAGTAATGTGGTTTATGTGGTTTTCTTTTTCATAAAATTAGTTGAAGTGAAAGAATGTGAAAATCACTGATGAACCTCACCCCTCTATCTTTCCACTAACTGTTCCAGAAAGACCACAATCTCATTTGTTTTTTAAGTATAGAGACTGTTGAATACTAAGAAAAATGTCATGTTTCAGCATCCCTTATTTCAATGAATATCCCTTCTCCTACTGACTTACTGACAGCATAGAACTCTAGCTAAGGTCTAATAGGAAGGTTTTGTGTGGATACCCTTTGACATCACTTACATGACCCAAGAGGCTGTGAAGAGATTATAGGTTTCCAGGCCAAACAGAGAAGAATTGAGATCTTTTCTTATTAGTTGCCCTGTGACTCTGGGCCAGTTGTCTAGCCTCGCTGAGTCTCAGATTCCTAATCTCTAGAATGGGGATTCTAATACCCAGTTGACATGGGTTTTTTTTGTAAAGCCTATAACCTAGTATGTCGTAAGCATACATGAGCATATAACGTTATTTACTTTCCCTTCCTGCTTCACATTAGATGGCTTCTATCCCTAGTCAACCCCACATGTCATCACTGGAATCATTTCAGTAACCAAAACTGATGTTCCAATAGTATAACTGAATTTACCTCCTTTTGGACTTTACTTATGCTGTTGAGTGCTGAGGGTTTTCGCCTTAGCTGTTTTGCACTCCCGACGAAGATAAGCCATTGATTTACCAGCCTATAGCTTCAATTTTGGAAGGGGGATATAAGCCACCCCGTAACCCATAGGAGCCATGGACCAAGGAGTCCCCTCCTTCCATTGTTCTCTCTGAATCTGGACTACCATCCAAGCTAGGGTGAAGGTATCTCTTAACCCTAAGGATGTGCGCTGCATCTTCCAGAAAGGTGTGTGTTCACCAATCAGCAGCTGTTTATCGAGTGCCTCCTTTGTGCCCAGCGCATCTCATACGTATATGTGAAGATATTATTGATAAGGGACTTAACTGCTATTCAGGGAAGATGAAAGAAAATGGGACCTTGGCTTCGCATTCAGATCCCTTGGGGAGTCCAGTCCATCAGTTAG